ACATTGAGCCCACTCTCTGGATAAGTCTGGTGTAATATGGTGTAATATGCTCTTCAGTCTGTGCCATTGCTATTACACCTAATGTTGTCTCACCCCTAACCTGGTGTGGCAGACCCAATGCTCCTCAAGGACTGAAAGCCATCTGTACGGTGCCCAAATCTCTGCCTCCTTACTTTTTCCTGAGTTAGAAACCTTTGCTTCTTCCTTACTGGGTTTCAGGGAGGCAGACAAACAGCAATAAAGCTTGTTTATGGTTGGTAAGTCTCTTCTCTATGTAATAGCCAACCCATAAAAGGGGAAACCTGCTCTTGATTTCACCTGAGAGATTTAGGCAATAGGTAATAAGTTGGTAAATTGGCCATTAAACAGGAAAGAAAACACCAAGGAAAAATCATTTTCAGTTTAAAACAACTAAATTGTAAATGAACTTCTGAAAATTAAAGTTCCTAAGCTAGAGAATCCTGTCTTGTTAAGCAGATTCAGCACTGGTTGAATAACTGTGTTGCTCAGTTGCTTTGGGTTTCTAATGGAGTGACACAAGCCTCTGCCCTTGGTCCTGGCCTCTTCAGCACCTGCTGACTACAGTACTAAGAAGCTACAGGAGGGTAAATGAGGTGGTGGAATATCTAGCAACAACCAAAGAAGGCAATTTAGACTGCAGAGCAAAAACTAAAGGTGGAAGTGACTGTAGGCTTCAAACATTTGAGGAGCTGTCACATAGATGAAGTACTTTATGTGTTCCCTATGGCCAAACAAGGTCAAATAAGTAGAAGTGACCTGGAGGCAGACTTTAACAACAGAAAACAAAGAACAATTAGAATTGTCCACTGGGCGCGGTGGCTCACGCCTGTAATCCTAGCACTTAGGGAGGCTGGACGGGCAGATCTTCTGAGGTCAAGAGTTCGAGACCAGCCTGGCCACCATGGCGAAACCCCATCTCTACTAAAAGTACAAAAATTAGCCAGGTGTGGTGGTGCACACCTGTAATCCCAGCTACTCAGGAGGCTGAGGCAGGAGAATCACTCGAACCTGGGAGGTGGAGGTTGCAGTGAGCTGAGACTGTGCCATTGCACTCCAGCCTGGGTGACAATGTGAAACTGTCAAAAAAAAAAAAAAAAAAAAAAAAGTCCAACATTAGAATGAATTCTTTTGAGAGGTAGCAAACTCCCTGACACATTGGTTAAAAGCAGCCCTTGACTAAGTGGGTTAAGTAGGCTTCTAGAACTAGGTAAGTGTGTTATACCAAAAGCATAAAGCTTTAGGCAGCAATGAATCAAAGGCTACATAAAAGTACAAAAACATCCAAGCTGGTTGACATACATAAAATCTACATAAATATATAAAAAGAGTGCTAGAAATGGGAGCAGAGGGAAGGTCATCGTCAAATAGTCAGATGAAACTAATCAGCAAATAGCAGGCAAATAGGGTACCTGGGATAGTAGAGGTACAACAAGCTGTTAAAGTACCTGGCAGAGGCAGCAGCAAAGACAGGACTCTGATATGCATACAACTGTTATATCTACCTTGGTTGCCCTTATATTTATTCTGGAGAGAGACCGTAGATCAGCTTTTCCTTCAAGGCTGGCTGGGCAACACGAAAAATGTGAAGAAGATAGAAGAGAAAGGCAGGTAGAGGCATTTGTCTGACACAAAATCTAGAACACGATCTGTTAAGGATGCTACTGTCTTTGTCAATTTGTTCTGCTATAACAGAGTACCTGAGACTAGGTAAATTATAAAGAACAGAAATTTATCTCTCAGTTCTGGAGGCTGGGAAGTCCAAGAGTAAGACACCACATCTCATGTCCAGTGTGGACCTTTTAGCTGTGTCCGCTGGAAGGGAAGAATGCTGTGTCCTCACC